CTACGCCCCACCAGGGCTGGACCTGGGGCAGAGCCACGCCTCACGAAGGAGGCTGGGTTTCTTCTTTTTTCCTGCTGGTGGCCATGCAGTCGCCACAGTCTTGGGAATTTTCCTGGGCTTTCTTCTCCTGCCATGAGGTCACCGCCATCTTGGGGTTTTGCCTCGGGCCCCCCACAGCAGTTTTGGATGGATTAGGGGCCTCTGAGCCAGCTACTACGGGTTTGCCAGTGAGTGGAATCTCTCTGCTTGGAGAAGGTATGTTTTCTTCCATGCTGCTGCTAGATAAATTGCCTTTTATCTCTTTTAGCAATTTTAATATAATTTCCCAAGGTTTTAAAGCTTTAATTGCATTTTAATCATCTTTTAAAGCATGTTTAATATTTGCTCTCCAATTTTAGTCCAATTATTTATATTAAATGCAGTTTCATTAGTTACTTCTATCCTTTTGCTTTTTGTCCATAATATTAAATCAAAGAGCAATTCCTCTTCATAATCTATCTCCCACTCTTCTAGAAACTCCAACCATACCTGAATGATTGGATGTTTTTCTGTGGAGATGTATCCTCCCATGTTTTTCCTAGCTCTCGGCTAAAATTTTCTTCCCACCTCTTGGATGTCTCTGGGCCAAAATTTTCTTCCCATTTCTTGGACGTACCTGGCTCTTTTGGCCATAAATTCCCACCTCTCTTTTTCTGGGCGTTTTTCCCTAGCTTGTGGCCAGAAATCCCTTTCCCATCTCACTGGATGGATTTTGTCTCTCCCTGCTTTTCGCAGGTTTTGGCTAAGTTGAAACCATGTCCACTGGTCACCAGTTGTTACAGTTGTTACATTCGTTTCTGTTGTTTCATTGGTTGGGCTGCTGGGGAGGGCTGGGTCGGAGACAAAGACAGGACACTGATGCTCTCGTGGTTCACCGTAACAAGACTTCAGCCCCTTTATTCTTTGTGAGCATGCTTAAATAGAGTGCTTGAGCTTTCCTGGGCTCACACAGGTGGCTGGTCACTATTTTAGTCACTCATCTCCTCAACCAGTGATATATCAGCACCCAGGGCCCAATAGGTGAGCTGGGATTTTCACCCACGTGAATGCCTAACAGGCAGGTTGGGTTTCAAATTGCAGCTTTTAGAAGAGCTGCAGCTATGCACTGCCACAGGTCCTGTGCACAGGTACTACCACCTATCGCACGTAAACCCTTCTCTCTCTCTCTTCCTCTCCCCTTTTTGCTTCTAGAGTCCCCTATCCAGGTCTCACCTGTTTGTCCCACAAGGTATGACAACAAGTTGAGGGCTGCTGAACTCAGCAGGGCGCGCCTTTCCCCTGCTTTTGGTGTCCCACCCTGCAGGGCCAGAAGTTAAGGATCCTGGACAAGTCTCCAAATTGAGAGAAATAACTAGTTTTCCAATAAAATTGAGAGGGGACCAAGTCTTTGAAGCAAAAATTATTTATTAGTATCAACGAATCAGCTGAGTCTGGTCTGTTTCTCCTCTAAGGGGTGTACTTACACACTTTTGTTAAAATGGCAACCTTTCTATATCCTTTTGTGGCCGAGGGGGTGGTCCCTGTCCCCTTCCCTATTGGTTGGGTCCTCAGGGACTTACACTCTCTCCCAACTGCCTATCCTTCCCCCAAAACCTTTCCCCTCCTCTGCATCCTTCCCCCTTTTTTGGTTTTATCTTCACTTCTTTACTGGTTCTCAACAACACTTAATAGGTGCAAGAAACAGATCAAACCACATCTAAACTATAGGTAACAGGAAGTAGAAAATAGAATTAACACTTTTCCTACTTCTACTCTGTAGTCCTTTTGGGCTGAAGCAAAATGCTGTTTCATCTCTCACATCAACTAGAAAACTATTTTTAGATGTATAGGACATTCTAAGAATCTCTAAGGATTCAGTATTTGACATCTAAGCAGTTAGGTTGATTTACATATTTAAAAGGCTGGCATTGGACTATTATATTCTCAGTATTTAATGTTCATTCTTTAATGTCCTCCTTTTAGGAAATACCTGCTTTTGATATTCATTAAAGGCTTACTCAGAAGCAGTCAGATGCCCAAATAAATTGCCCATAGCCATGGGGAACACCTGGAAGCTTCCATTAAAGATCTGCTTTTTTAATTGTCTATATAAATATTGTCTGCGAAGTGTTTTTCTTTCTCAATTCAGGCAACAATACTGCCTCTCCATGTTGCAAATGCAGCAAACTTTGGTTGAGTAATAGAAAAACAATAGTGTGGAGAAACTGGCATTTTACTGACTACGTAAGGAAATTCTTTCTCAAAGGGTTCATGTGGTAACAATTCCACCAAATGAGGAAGAAAATTTTGACTTTAAGATCACTATTAACATATAGATGAAGGCAAAACAAATCTACTAAACAAAACACAAGTTAGTAGCTACTAACTACAAAAAGTTGCTACTAACAAAAGTTTGTAGCAATCAGCTGCTTCAACTACTGGCAAGGTTTAAGTGTCTGCCACCTTTGGCTGAGGAACTTGTAGTTTACAGGGTGAAATCCACGGATAATGAAACTGAATGGAACCCAACTGTGTTCACAAAAGTTAACAAAAAGTAAACTACATCACGCAAAAGTATCACATATCTTGGAAAGTACAGCTTGGATTTGCCCAGTGGTCGGGTTATCAGCCTTTCCAGTACGAAGGTGTGGCTCAATGAATAAAATATTCCTATAGAACTAATAAAAAGGCCCATAAAGCAAAAGGGACAGTGCGGGGAGCATGGCCAAACATCAGAAGCCTGTCCATACATGGCGGATCTGCCTTCTATACACCTAGTGTTGCATCAACTAAATATGTATTTATAAGCAGTCATACATATTCCAACATTTTCCTTATATATTTTCTTTGCTGTCCATTGGTGGAAATCTTCTTGCAACTTGATTGGAGGTGAGGTGTTGTCATGCCAAGCCCCCCCCCAGTCAACAAGCTTCCCCCATTCCTGCCTCACGCTAGGGGCACGTGTACACGCCCTCTCCCACATGTCTCTGACAACCAAGATTGTCTGGTGGCAACAATAGAGATGGGAGAAGAGAGGATTAAAGGGAAACAATAAAGGGGTTCAAAAACAACCTACAACAGAATCACTTATCAAAGAAATTTAAACCCCAACAAAACTTTTAACACACATAATATCCATTCCTCACTTGCAAGAGCAAACCACCACACCACCCATCTATAACACTGATCCTGCAGGCTGTCATAGGCCACCCTGCTGCCCCAAGCTATGAGCAGATCAGGTCCCATAACCACCCACGTCCAATGTTCTTACACTGTGTTGCTATATTTGGAACATTGAAATGGACTGCCCAGGAAAACAGTAGAGTCAGTACCTCTGAAAGTGTTTTAAAACAAGACTTAATACGACTTAGTGCCATGGTTTAGTCGGTAACATGGTGTCAGGTCATAGGTTGGGCTGGATGCTCTCGAAGTTTGTCTTTTCCAGCCTAATTCTTTGATTCTTCCCACCACTCCCTGAATATATATTCCCAAATCCCCAGAGAGAGTCCTGTGCCTCCAGGGGGGAGCATGAAGACACTCATAGGCTATCTGGGCAGGGTGTCTCCTGGACCTGCTGATCCCCAGCCCCGAATAAAAAAAATAGGGGGCTTTGCAGGCCACTGTGATAATTGATAAAAGATTCGTGTTAATCACAAAAGCACTGGGGTTTGTATAAACAAGAATACTAAGCTCTGAAGTGAAGCATGGACACTAAATAAAGGAAATTATATAATAAAATCATTCTGTTTAAAATCACCTTGTTATATTATGTTGTATTATGTTACATTATATTGTATGTTATGTTTTGTTTTCCAAACAAGTTGTATTGGCTACCAGCTTGCAAAATCAGACTTCCCAATAGCCTTTTCTGCCTTTGTCTTATCAATGCTGCCTATCTCAAGGACCAGACTTCCAGAACTTATCCAGTGGTTACTTACAAGGACCAGATGACTATCTGTGACTGATTATCACCCAAAGGCTTTATGAATTTATGTAAGGATGTTTATTCGACCACCACTGCTTACCTGGCAAAATTATGACAGCAAAAAAACCCAAAAATTATTGATTACAACGAGAAACCACAGTATAAGAAGAGGCTGCAAACCAAGGTTCGGTGGAGCGTGGAGTGGGCGGTGACCCCTCACGCTCCCCAGCGCGCTGCTTGCTCTTTCTGTATCAAATAAAGCAACCTAAATTTTGCTGAATATCGAGACTTTTGTCTCTCATTTATAACACCACCAAAACTCAATTTGTTGGTGTGCTAAAAGAACCAGACGGGTTTGTACTGTGAAATCTGGAGCTGTGAAAGGCAGGCAAAAGGCTCTGCCCTCGCGCAGGGCCCAGAGAGCAGCTCGGCAGCCCTGCATGCCCAAGGGGCCAAAAAAAATCTGCATGAACCGGAGCTTGCTGCCCTCAGCGTGGCCTCGGCTAGCACGGAGCGCGGCAGTACCAGGGACCCCGGAGGGGAGCTCAGAAAGCCCGGGCATTTTCCGTAAGTCGAGAGCCGCGCCCGGCAGCCTACCTCCAGCGAGTTACCGGGGGAAAGGGCCAGCCGACAGACGAGCTGCTCCCACAGCGGGCCGGCCGGCTGCCTGGCTGCTGCGGGACTGACAGGGCTGCTGCGGGATCGGGCCGCCTGGCTGACTGCTAGGGATGCGGGCGAGTTGCTGAGGGAGCGGACGGCCCGGCCGGATACTGAGGGAGTGGAGCGGCTGGCTGGCTGGCTGGCTGGCTGGCTGGCTGGCTGCTGCGGGAGCGGACCGGCTGTTTGGCTGTCTAACCGGCTCGCTCGCTGGCGAACGACAGTCTGTGTGCAAGCCGCGGCCGCTGAAGCACCGGGCGGCACCGCCCCCGCGCCCCCGTTTCTCGGGCGCGCCCCCGCGCGCAGCCGCAGTGCTCCGAAACAGTTTCTCGCTCACGTCGAAGCCGCTTCCGTTTCCAACGCCGCATTCCGGCCACACCTGCCCGTACCCGAACCCCGGCTCGCTCCGCCGCCCGGCCCGCCCGAAGAGAACCCCGCGCTCAGCCGCCCCAGCAAGCAATGTCCGAGGAGGGTAAGGTTCCCGGCCGGCCGGCTGGCTCGCCGCACCGCGGGGGACGGACGGGACGCGGCGCCGCTGGGGCACGGAGAACGCTCCCTCATCGTTCGCCACAGCCCCAACGCTCGCGTCGCTATTCGCCCGTTCCCGCGCGGCGAGCGCTGCCATTGGCTGCCGCTCCTGCCCGTCGCCGCCGCGTCAGCGCCGGCGGGGTCTCGCGGCGCGGGGGCGCGGCCGATGGCGGGCGGGGCTGCGCCTCCTCGCCCCCGGGCCCAGCGCTCCCCGGGGGTTCTCTTTGGGAATTCTCTCCTGGTGTGTTCCCGGGACAGGACTCGCGCGGAAGTTAGTGCTCAGAAATAGTGTGGCCCAGCCACAGCTCGGTTGCCTCAGTTCCAGTGTTGATGGTGGGGGAAGCTTTCGCTTTCCATAGTGTGAGAAACGATGCTCGCTTTTAGAATTTCAAAGGTTTATTTAGCCTTAACAAAAATACAACAAAATACTGAATAAGAAGAAAGAGAGTACTGAGAGGTCAGAAGTAAACTATCGTGTGTTCGCCTACAAAATGGATGCTTTGATTTTTTATATCCCGAGACCCGCCCAAAGTCTTGCCAGTTAACTCCTTCTCTGCCGTCCATGGGTGGAGACACTTTCTTGCATTTTGATTTGAGGTCAGGTGTAGCTGGCCCCCCTCAAATGCCTTGATTACCCCAGGTATCTAGTGACCACAATACAAGGGAGAGGGGAAGAGTACTAGGGGAGGATATATTACAACATACATATATATATCTACAAAATTTATTTTAACGTACATGCAATATTCTTTAATTGTGAGAGCCAACCATCACAGTACTCATCTATAACAGTCCTCAAATGGCAGCTGAGTGTAGATCCAAAATGTTGGGGCGGCTTTGCCGTGGAACAGCAGGGCCTCAGCATTGACAGGTGCCCCCCAGCACTGCAGTTACTTGGATACAAAACCCGAGTGAGGGAGAGATGAATGACGCTCCTAAAGTGAGAATGACTGACCTAATGAGTTGTCTGTCAGAAGGCACAGTGCATAGGTCAACTTAAGTGGCTTAGATATCAGGCACCTTGACTTTGGACCAAAACAGGTCTATTTCTGCCAGTTACGTGCTTCGCCTTATCTTTCAGAAGAGTGATGTTTATCAGACTAGTCTAATCTGACGGACTCAGATTGGTTTGTGCTCATTTAGGTTGTTGCTGTCACAGGCCTAGCCTCTAAAGAAGTTCTCTTTGTGTCTTGCTTATATGCCAGATTTTCTTGTATGATTTCATTGTTCAAGGAACTTTTCTGGTTAGGAAATAGCCAGTTCACTGTGCAGTTCTGCAAGTGTCAACATGAATTAAAGGCGTAGGACTGACATGCAGAAGGGTGGAGCATAGCAGCTGTGACATAATCTTTATTAAATAAACGTACACAGTGATGTGTTTGTTAGTCCTCCTTTGTCCTCAATTCTTCAGTTTCCTGATTGGCTTTGTCTGTAACTCAGTAATCCTAGCAAATACTAAGCCTGTACTAATCCCTGGCAATAGAAAAGATATGCTATTAATAATATTGTTCAATCAAAAGGTGCAGTATGAGTTCCAATCTTAATAAACACCAAATGTCTTTGTGTGAGAGTGGTTTTATCATCTCAGTGATCTAAATATGACATGTACAGGAAATCTGGTTTTATTATTTTGCTTCTCTCCATAGTAGTTGATTTGTGTGAGCTTAACATTCATTTCTATTGTTTTAGTTTGTTTCAAATTCTGACAACAGCATTCTAAATTAATTGTTTCAGTGTTCAGAGGCTGTTAAGCATTTTATCTCTGGTAGAGTATTCTGGTGTCTCTGACCCCTGGCAATATATCTAGAGGAAGGACAAAATAATCAAAGTATGGTAAATTCAAGGATGTGACTTGAGGTGAGTGCTACCTTTTTTTTCTAAATGCAGTATTTAAACATCTCTGTAAAATCTGATTGGATTTACACAGAGCTTCCATGGCTGGCTGTTGCACCTGGTTGTGTTGAGATAATACTTGCAGAAATACAGGTGTGTCTAACGGAACTGTTAGAAAATTAGGAAAACTCATCAGATTTCTGTGAAAAGTTTTTAGTGAATTTTGCAGGAAGCCCTCCAGGAACTCTGTAGTAGAGGTTGAGATAGGATTCAGTACTAATTTGTGTTCCTTTTGCCGTTCTATGCTTGATGGTCACTTACATTTGTGTTTCTGCAACAAGTGAGAGCATTCATCAGGTAATGTCTGATTCAGTACAAGTCCTTCCTTATTCCACCGGCTTATGTGATGTATTTATTAGTTACATACTTGGGGAAAGAAAAAAATAGTTTGTCATCTTGTCTTCAGACTTCAGCCTGGTGCATCAGATCTGGGTGTATTTGTGTGCTTGTAGCTCTCATTATCATAATATGCACAAACCTGCTTAAAACTCTCAGTTATGTCTGCAGTGAGATTGAGTTAATAGGCAGATGATTACTTAAAGTTGTGATGGGATGATACTAACCCTGAAAGGCACTGGTGTCCCTGGGCTCTCCCTTGTGTTAGTTCACTTTTTTGTGTATGTTAGCACAAGTGTCATGCCATAAATAGTGCAGGATCTAATTATGATCCAAGTTAAGGGTAGCTGTCTCTCCTTTTATGGCTTAGTTGCAACCCAGGTAAAATCTTTAAAATCTTTACTTTTTTGGGTGGAGTTGCTTGGCTTGATTTGTTTTGATATGTAATTCATAGTTCCTAGAGAGATGATTTTTTTGAGCTTTAATGCTTTTCTTTTCAATTCTGCCTTTGAAAGAGTTCGAGTTTGTTGTTTGCTTGGTTTTAGTGTTTCTTGATGTTTAATCCCAGCACACTTTCAAATCCCAATTACTTTAAAAGACATCTTCCTGTTGGTTACTGGAAATAAATTCTTTGTGATGCTTGGCTTCATGGTGCTGCATAAAAAGTTGTAATTTAATATAGTACAGGCTTAGGCACAGGGTTGGATTGTTTCGGATGCAAATAATTCAAGTGTAAGTGCCTTTAACATTCTTCAACCTGATAATTTTGTGCAGAAGTGAAGATGATCTCATTAAAGAATTCTAAATTATTAACTTATACATCTTAGAAGTTAAAAATATCACCTCCGATCTTGGCTTTTTAATATGGCCATTTCACTGGACTGCTCCATCTATAAATGTCTCTATATACAATACACATTTTTTTATGAACTTCAAGCTTTTAGCATATCCTACTGCTCTACTGAAAATTCTAAGTGATAGCCCATATCATATAACTCAGAGTATGCATTGAGTCTGAAAAGGAAATTTGTTTGGTTATGTTCTCCAATTTGAGATGACTGTTACTTCAGTTTTCAAAAAGAAATTCAGGGTTCTCCTCAGTTGATAACTTGATACAATGATTGGATAAATCAGGCTATTTAGTAAGTCTTACTAATGTGTAGTCCGCAGTAAAAGCCATGTTTGAAATATGTAAACCTGAAATGTTTCCTTAGTCACGCTTTTTAAATTTATAATTTCCTTTCAAGACTTATTGGAAACATCTAATTATCTATGTCATGACATTTTCTGTCAGTGGAGTGAGTTAATATATATAAATTACTAACTTGGCATGTGAAATGCAATTGCATCTTCATCCAAGTCAGAAGCAAAAAGCACTTGTTGGCTTTTTTTTTTTTCCAGGAGCACAAATTAATCCATAGAATTAGGCAGTTTGTGGTTTCTACATGAGGGTCAGAGTTGTATTTCATACTGTTTGGTGTTACATATGTATGGTAATATTCTCTATTCCTGGCACTTTAAGAAAAAATCAGAAATAGAATTGCTTAGAGGACTAAATTGCAGTGTCTTTCAGATTATGGATAAATAGCTGGATTTTTTCTTTTCATAGGTTTTTGAAGGTATGAATAATATACTATATTCTAATATTCTATAAGTAAACTTAGTTTAATCCTCAACAGGATTGTTGTTTATAAACAACATTGTTTATATATTTTTGTTTATAAACAAAATATTTTGGGTCACATTTATATTCCTCTTGCTGATGAATATAGTCAAATTTACAGCAAAGACATTTAAGTATGTCCACTGACTTTAGAGGCCAGGCAATTAGAATGCATTAAGGAAAGGAGGAAAGGTTTAATATAAAGCAGGTGAGTCTGCATTCTTGAACTTGCTTCTCTTGTTGTTGCAGTGTGACCAGTCATACTAATAAGCCTTCCTGGAAATGGGTGGTGTATTCTAATACTCAAGTTTCTTGACTGTTCATGTGAAAGTGCTGTTCTCAAGACAGAATAATTTCCTTTCTATGTATGAAAGTAGCCACGTTCAGCAATGGGTGATGGAAAATAAAAGGCCACGGGATGAGGAGAATCCTGGCCATCACCTGACAGGTTAAAATGTGAGATTACTGCTTGTTCCATTGCTTCCATGTCATTGTAGAAATGTGTTGTAGGTTTGCTCTTTAATTAATTTAGGTGGTTTTCCTTTCTGTATTTTCCTGATTGGTTTATATTTGTTCTCCAGCTCTGAGTTGCTGTAAAGCTTTGGAAACACTTTCCGCTCAGAGTCCACTGCACTGTTGAAATTCTTATTTTGATTTAAGGGAGAGTGGTAGAGGGTATGGAAGACTGAGCCTTGCTTTCAGTATCAACCAGTTGTAGAAACTCTCCTAAGTTCTGATCATACTGTCCTTCCTCTTGTCCAGATGCAGCTGCTTTGACATTGCCATGTCTTTGCTATGTCCTGGTTGCACGGAATTTTCCCTCTTCTTTATTCATCACTTCGTTTGCTGTAGATTGGAGTGATGTGGTTGCTGATTGGGTAGGATTGTTTTGCTTGTGTTAATTGAATGAGGCATGTGGTCTGTGGCAAAGATTATTAATATACAGGTAAATTCTGTGCTTTTTAGGGTTGCATAAGTAACATACAATTTGCATTGGTTTGTCTAGTTAGGGATAGAAGGAGGATTGCAGGACACAGCAGAGACCCAGCTGTAAGTAGGGCATTTGTCAGACCATGCACTAATCTGACATCCTGGTTGGGGAAAATTGGCAGAGAGGATTCTCATCCCTCCTGCTCTGATGCAGATGCATTTACTGACTCTTCATTAATTCTTTCCCAAAGTAGGTAGAATACTTAATGATTGTCAACACAAAATTTGTGCCTGCGAGGCAGTTAAATAATTCAACACAAACTAATAACTCATGTTAGCCTGCAATGAATTTCAGTCAGTGAATATCATTGAAGTGTTTTGCTAAAAGCTGCACCTAAATGAAGTTCGTGAGTAAGACTCTTGTACTTTTATACAGCTGGCCAAGAACTGTTCTCCTGTTGGCAGCCTAAGGAGCATATCCTAGAGTGTGTCTTCAGCTAAACTCCTTTGTACAGGTCAGCTCTGCCCCAGGTAGCTGTTTGGCTTTTTTTACACCTATAAACAAAGCTCTTAACTATGTGGCAGTTGATGGGTGTTTCTGAACAGATCATCAGTTTTTTAGTGTGATGACAGCCAAATCCGAATCCTACTGTATTATGTCTTTTGAATTAGATGGAGTATTGTCCAGAGGGAAAACTATATGACCTGTGGAATTCAACTTCATTTTTACCTTTTGGTCTCTATAAGAAATTGGAAGACAGCAGGCTTTGGAGTGAATTGATTATATGAGAGTAGGGACCCAGACTGCTCTTCCACTCATCCAGTTCTGATTCATTCCTGGATCTCAGGTCCATCCTGTGCACTGAAAAGGGCAGAGACCCTGTGGAAAAATACAGCCTGTGTTACACATAGTTGAAGTGTCATGCATGTGTGCTGGCTGAATTTAAGTTTTACTTCCAAACTTGATAAGGTTCTTCCATTAATTTATTTCATCAAAAATAAATTCCACTCCCTCACTGATCCTGTAAAAAACACTGAATCTAGCAATGATAACTATAATAAGTTATTCTGAAGCACTTTTCTCTTGATGTAGTGTGTTTAATTGGAAAAAAATCTGTTTCTGGAGATTTGCTATTCAGTGTTTCTGCACAGTGTTGCATTGGGAACCAATATTTGGATTGATCTGAATACCAAATATACAGTTAGGGTTTGGAGACTGATTTGTTTCAAGTGTATTAAGCAAGTCTTAATTATGAAAGTAAAGTTTCAAGACCAAATTAATACATTTTTTCATAGCTTGAATATGTAAACAGTGGAGTTTGTAGAAGTGCTTGTAACTAACTTGCTCCTGTTGAAGCTGGACACTTTAGGGAGAACTGGGTACTGAGTAGTTTCAGAAATCCCACCAACTAAACAATAGTAAGTTGTTTTCGTTCTAGTGTGTGCTAAAACCTCAGTGTCTGTGTTTAAAAGTGACTTTGCATTTAGATGCTGAAGTGAAGCCAAATTTATAACAGCTTGTGGTACAATTGAGATAGTGCTAGGTGTGAGCGCTACAGTTATCACCTGATATGCAGAATGGCCTCCTGCAGCCTTACCTGTTTCTCTTTCTGCATCTGCTAATAGATTATGTGTGTGTGAAGGCTGAGGAAGAGGATGAAGCAGTGATTATGGACCATGGAAACAACAGACTGTCCACACAAAGCTGCGTGCCAGTGCAACAGAACTCGGAAGCAAACAGTGCCGTTCACCACATGAGTCAATTTGCCTATGGTAATTACTGTTCATTTTTATTGTGATCTGATAGTTAATGGCTAGTTTAAATGCCATCTGCCCTATGCTTTTGGATTCAGGTCCTTCTGTATTACCCATATCTTTAGACACGTTTTATTAGAAAGCTACTTCTATTGAAATTGCTTGGCAGTGTGTCTTGGGTTGCAATACAGGATGTGACCAAAAGTATGTATTCTATCACCATCTGTTGAAAACAGGTGGGGCAGTGTTCCTTATCTTTTCCACAACCCATCCTTCCTCCAGGAAGATATCTTCTGTTAATGGCCCATTGAGTCCCACTGCATGGCTGATAAAATTACATCATCCTATTGAAGATGCTCCACCCAGGGGGAGGAGCCAAGCATTTCCTGCCTAACTAAAATCTGAGCTTTGGAACATCAGAGTAGCCTTTTTCCACTGGATTCTGGAGGAAAACCAGACCCTTCCGTATCATCACTGAACCTTTGGATGAAAACTGTACCCCTCTACAGGACCACTGCTTCAACAGAACCACATCTGCCATCCAGGAGGACTGCAGCCACCATTTAATGGGACTGCTACCAACACCCTGACTGATGGGGTGTCAGGTTGGATTCTGACTCTGTCAGTGTTTTGTTTTTTTGTATTACTGTATTTTTTATTTTAGTTTTCCTAGTAAAGAACTGTTACTCCCATATCTTTGCCTGAGAGCTCCTTAACTTCAAAATGACAATAATTTGGAGAGAGAGGATTTACATTTTTTCATTTCAAGAGAGGCTCTTGCCTTCCTTAGCAGACACCTGTCTTTCAAACCAAGACATAGTGCCTTTAAAGAGAAGTGCTGTTTAGTTATTACTTTTGAGATCTGTATAAATGGTGAGGCTGCTAAAATGCTACGTTTTAAAAAGACAACGTTTTACTTACTTAAAGGTAAAGGTCAGTATACCTAGGAATAAATTAGGAAGTAATTTGGAAAAATAAATGTCATGAAAGAACTTAGCCTAAAAAAATTACATTTTTAGATAATCTATCTAGTGTAACTTAGTACTTGAGATGCTGATGGGTAATGACAGCGAGATGGTTGTTTAAGGTGATAAATTATTAGCAGTAAGTAGCCATTGTGACTGTCTCTAATTCACTGTATTTATTTTAACATGCGAGATCAAAGTCTCTCAAGAAATTTTACCCAATGCTTCATTGGCCCAGACAAAAATTCTTCACAGTTGTTATGAGCATTTGTTAAGTCCTGTAGCAGTATTACCAAGTCAGTGAAAAAAATTACTGTAACTAAGTGAAGGCACTTTCTAGTTTGGGGGATTTTTTTTTTTTTAATTCAGCCAGTTAACTCTATAGAGAATCCCATAAGTATCTCTCTTCACAAACACAAGTTACATCTGTTTCCTAGTGTTATTGGGTGCTTCTGAGAACCTTTAGTCTTTTTAGTTTTCTAATTGACAGTAGAGTATTTTGTAGTTTTTTCTATGTTTATGTCTAAAAACAAATTTGGGAGTGGAGGATGGGTTAGATGGCTTACTTGCGGGTTTTGTCTCTGTTATTGAAAGTAAAGAAACAAACAACCCCACTAAAATTAAAACTTCTGCCCAAAAATCTGTCATAAACAGGTGCTGACCGTGGTTTTAGGACCTGAGTAATTATTTCATTATTAATAAATTAATCATGATGAGAGCAGTTGTTTCTTAAAAGGTAAAATATGGTTTTGGTTTTTTTGGGTGTATTAGCATTAGATATTGTCTAGTTAAAATCAAGTATAGTGAGATATATGAGTGAAGCACACCACAGGTTTATCTCAAATGGAACTATTGAACTTTGAACTGGAATTCTCTCTGACTGGCTTTGTTCAACTACTATCTTAGACAGGTATCTTGTAGAGCAGTGCCTTTCCTTCAGATCTCATTCTGTCTGTCCAAACGAGTTTCTTCTACTTTTGTCTTGTATCTTCTTGCCTACAATAAGAAGCTGTCAGAGCAAGCTCAACATCATGCAGATAGAGATATAGGTCTTTATTTCTCCCTGCATGCTGCAGAACACCTTTTATTTGAATTTTTTTCTTAGCCATTTATGCTCACAAAGTCAGTATTACTTTTACTAATGCTTTTTAAAATATCATTATGTTTGAAAAAAACACTAAATTGAATTTATAATTTCTGACCTAATTAATTGGATAAATAACTGTTTGATAATATGTTGGTAAACAAATTTCAAATAATCAAGCAGTCTAAAAATTTTTTTTAAAAGGGTGACTGTGCCTGTTTTTCCTGTAGTGAAATGTTTAATGCAGTGGGGAAACTTTGTAATGTGCTTTGCTTTCTCTTCACTTCTCTAGGAAGCGAAGGCTTGCCAATGCTTGCTGATCAAACAGCCTCACAAATGAGCCATTCTGCAATGATGCGGAGAGGAAATGGCCACAGCTCTGAAAAAATGGATTTTGTTTTTATGCGTAATAAAAGGAAACGACTTTCTCCTGCTGTAGTGGAACACAATGTGGTATGTTTCACCAAACAATACTTCTTTTTGAGACCAGTTTCAATGTTACTTGGAATATCATTTTTCTTTCACTGTTGCATGGTTTGATGATAACCCACTGAAGATGGGTAGGATACCTATGCATGGATGCTTCGAGCAAGTCTTCAGATTCCTGCAGTCTGTCCAGAATCCAGAGCTGCCGATGGTTGCCCAGCCTTTGATTTGTTCAGATCTCTCTGGGGGGCCTCTCCACCTTCAAGGGAGACAGCAGCTCCTCCCAACTTAGTGTCATCAGAAAATTTAGTCTCCCTTTCAGTCCTGTGTCCACGTTTTTTATGAAAACGTTGAGAAGCACAAGGATGGAGCCCTGCAGAACCCCAGTAGTGACAGGTCCCCAGTCTCATGTCACCCTATTCACTGTAACTCTTTGTGCCTGGCTTGTGAACCAGTTACTCACCCATCCCATGATGTGTTTATCCAGCTGTGTGCTGGACATTTTGTCCAGAGGATCCTGTGAGAGACAGTATCAAAAGCTTTACTGAAATCCAAACAGATTATATCAGCTGCCTTCCCTTCATCAGCTAGGTGGGTCATCTTGTCCTCAAAGGAAATTAACTTTGACAAGGAGGACTTTACCCTTCTGAAGCCATGCTGGCTGTGGCTGATGACTCAGTTGTTCTTCAGTTGTTTTTCAGTAACTCCCAGAATAATCTCCACAATTTTACCAGTCACTGAATTCTACCTGTTATCACCTACCCTCCACCCCACCCGCAGCCTTCCTTTTCTAAAATAAAATCTAATCAGTTAAAAGAATAAAATTTAAAAGAAAACACCACCACCAGACTTCTTAAATCTGTGGTGAGTGGTGGATGGGATCGGCATCCATCCAGTGAAAGAAAAATGTCAGGATTGTCCAGGGGGTGGTGCTGTTCTTCCTGGTTAAAAGCAGTTTGCAAGCTGTGAGAAAATTGCCTCTTCTAGAAATTTTTTACAGTTTGTGCTTTCGGTTATACTTGCTGAAGTCTCATCATTTGGACTCATGAGGTCTTTTCCAATCTAAGTGATTCTGTGGTTGCAGAGGCTTGGCTGTATAGTACATATAGTTAGATGAGAAAGTTTTGCCTTAGAATAAACAAATAAAAATGCATGTTATTATTCATATATATATATATAAGTATATATGTATATATGTTCCCGTACCATGGTAAAATTACTTGAAGAAACCAGAGGTCTGAAACTCTGCTACAGCAAACACAGGGTCACGCTGGAAACCTTGTCCGACTGAGAAAGTGAAGTATGTAGGCATTCAGGCAGGGCACCTGAGCCACCCTCTGCAAAGGGGCTCCAGTCCCAGTAACCACAGTCTCTGGGTGACCACCAGAGTGTCTCCTGAGTGGTCAGACAGGAAAGTTTCCTTAACACACCAGTACATAAATAAGATGACTATGGTAAGTCTTGTTTTCTTGGACCCTCTTACAGCCAAGGGAGGAAATTACAGCTACAACCAAAAGTGTCCAAGTTGGATTCCTAGGAAAATTCTTTAACTTTTCAAAGCATTAAATGTTAATTATGTTATTTCCCAGATGAGAACCAGGGAAGAAGAATATGAAGATAATGACAGTGTCGTTTATGAGTATGAACCAGACTATGAATGTGTAAGTGAATTTTATTTTGTTTGACAGACTTTGAAATGCTGCTTTGGGAATGCAGGTTTTGGGGTTGGTTGAGGTAGCATGAGAGATTTGAAGTTGGGGTTTGTTTGCTTAATGTGATATCCTAAGTCCGTGTATATATTAGTACCTTACACTCTTTTTTTCTTTTTTTTCCCTTTTTTATATTTAATTATTATTTTAATGGAAAAGGAGAGTGTTTTATCTGAAGCTTCTTATATTGGATATCAGCAGAATACTCTTATGGAGGTCCTGAGTTATTGCCAGGTATTTTTTTATCCTTTATATCTGAAATGGTGTTTAAACAGTTTTAGTTGAACTTCAGGAAGACTTGCATTATAAACCTGACAACCAGTGACGTGATCCCTTCCAATTGTTTGCTTGTTAATTGCCCACATAAATGCAATGTTTTCAAAGTAAAACTAATCTCTTTTATATTCTCTGAACTTTTCATAAGAATAATTTTGAAATATTAAGCTTTAATATAAAATGTAAAGTTTAGGTCTTGGGAGGAGGAGCTTCACAGTAATGGGAAAGATACAGCATTGGTACTCACCCAGCTATTGAAAGTACATGTTACTTGCCAGAAGTGTGCCAAAAATCCTGTGAGTTTTGTGAGTCCTTTCCTTTTGATTTCTGAAGCAGTAACTGGCAAAATTGAAAATAACTGCACTAAAAATTTAAAGCATGCCATATTTATTCAGGTGAGCACTTGTGTGACTGGAGTCATTCAAGTCATGCTTAATGGAAGTCAATTTGTAAGTAGTTTGTAGCCAAGTGTTAATGTCTTGTAAGTCTCCTTAAGCATTCAGCTGTGCTGTGGAGGGAAGTTGGCGAAGTTTTAGGCAAGGAGTTCAGCTTTTAATTGAAATTTCTTGGTTTCTTCAGGTTTAGATTTGGGTTCTTGTGAAACTGTACTGTTTACAGCCTTATATTTGTTGACAGGCCATGTATGATGCCATTCAGAAGTTGGATAAAAAATTTGACCTGCTTCATCGTAAGGTCTCAGAAATGCAGCATACTCGTATAAAGCCGTTGTTGCTCAAACCTGTGAGTATTAAAGACCTAATCTGCTTTAATTCTCTTATTTCCTCTGATGCTTATTTTAAAAATCCCAATCCTTTCACTAAGATTAAAATTAGTCGCAAAAATAGTAGACTTAGAATCTATTTCAATTCAATTACTTGAGATTTCTGATTATGTGCCAGTTTCAGTTTCCTGTGTTATTGACTGGTGGCCACAGATTGGCAGTGATCCCCATCAAATTCAGGATGCCCTGATAGATGCTGTAAAATTCTATTTGTATTGGCATGAACAGAAGTGAATTGTGTAGGTGCATCTTAAACTTCAGTATATTGCTTTTGTTCCTTTGCAACGTGTGATGTGTTGTCTCATTGGTTTCTGTAGTTAGAAGAGAGTTTAAGCACCAGTCAGGTTGGTTCAATTGGCTTACTGAACTTTAGATCTCAACAGTATGGTGTCAAATCCGTTACAGTATAGAATTTTTTTTTTTTTAATGGAAACTCCATTTTAAACATTTTAAATAATGTTTGATATTGAGTACACAGTATTTATTTTGTTCCTAAATGGTCAATCTACTGCTAACTAAGGAGATGCAATTTTAGTACTTCTAACAATGATCTTGAAAAGGAAAGCATAACAGATGATTTTTGAAAAAGGTCATAAAATCCATAATGACTTTTTTTGTCATCAACACTACAAAGCTTTTAATGTGGCAGAGATGATTCTGCTGTCAGTAGATGTCAAGACAGCAGTGAGACCATTTGCTTTAAGGGTGCATGAAGCTGGATTTCTCACACCTGTCAGCTACCAGTAGGATACTAGGTTTTATTTGGTACGTACTTCTTTTGTCAAGGTTGTGCTGTCCACACATCCAAAACCACATGTTTCAGGAATAAATTGATCTTATCACCTGAAAATGAATCCTATAAGACCTCTGTGCTCTTGCTCTCCCCTCTGATATGTGGGATGGCAGCTGCATCAATGTTTGGATTTTTGGGTTAAAAGTGACCTGCACTGCTTTTTTTTTTCTTTTCCCTTTTTTTTTGTTTTTGTTGGGTTTTTTTTGTTGTTGTTCTGAAGGGTTTTATCCCTATAAAGAGTAACATGCAACCTGCCAGCTATTTTCTTAGGTTATGCCATTTAAAACTATCAGGAATGCTGTTGGGTTTTTTAATAGCTGTACCACTGTAGTATTTTTGAAGGGCTAATGGAATGGTTTGGGGATAAAGGTACTTTTTTTTATTAGACTCCAAAAGCTGGAGAAACTGACAGACTTTCAGATACATAAGACTTTCTTAAGGTCCTAGATTATTTTAGGGTTACAAGGGTGAAATATTATGAGATTTCTCTAAACAAACACACAAAATTTAACAAAATAAGAAAAACAAATCCACATGTCATCTACATTTTGTGGCTTCTGCTCAGTGACTTGTGTTTTGAACTAAAATGCATGCTGTATGATTTTTAATAAAAGCACTTGAAGCGATGGGAAACGTAGCCCATCTCTCAGTTTATCCACCTCAGTCTCTTTGGAATCTTCATTGTAGATGAGATCTGAATCTTTAATGTTTTCAGCTAACAAGTAAAGAAAGAAGAGAAAGTGTTGGTTTTTTTCTTGTTTGAAAGGAGCTAGCGTGGCAGTAGACACATTCCTTGAAAATTCATCAGCCAGTGACTGGGTTTGTGACTGAAAAATACTAAATTTTATTTTGCCTATTTACTTTTTTATAGAGGTCTAGAAAGCAATTTTGTTACCATCCCAGATGGAAAAAATGTGAGAAACATTGAAACTGACCAGATAAACTCTTAGTGTTGCAAATACAAATGAGGATAGAAGATAGTAGAGGGAAAGCTAAAATGTGGTAGGTAGCTCTGAGTTAATGACAGAGACTGCTTAAAGGAAGAGTATGGTACCAATAGCATAATTACTAAAACCTACTTTTCCTGGTTTGCCAAAAAAAAAAAAAAAAAAAATCATGTATGTCTAATTTAACCTTTTAATTGTTTTTTGAATCCTATTTGCAGAAACCAGTTGGATTTACATACAGAAGTTCCAGTCATTTGCCTCCAGGAAAAATAAGAGTACAAAAACACATGGAAAGGGATTTAAGTCTTCGCCTTTCTTCGTCAGGCCAGGGAAAGCGTAGCCCAGTTGTGAGGGCTGCTTTGCAAAATGGCCACGTTCAAGTCAATTCCGAAGTACCACATGCCCCACATAGTTTTCAGCTCGAATCTCAGCAGCCTGTTGGAAGGCAGAGCCCACCACTCCCCACTATAGTTTCTACACATTCATTGCATTCATCATACGCAGCAACTAATGGGATGCCTGACCTTTCACCACAATCAAATCTTGCTCCCAGTGTTGTGGAAAGTACTGTCAATGGTGCATCTTCACCTGTGGCATCGCCATCGATACCAACACCATCTGAGCCCAGTCAGGAAAATAATGCTGTGGAGTTGAATTACAGAAATGCATCTGAGGATGTGAATATTAGTGAAGAACTACCATCTTCTTCAGTCTTAATCAATCCTAACTTGGGTGAGTTCCTTCGTGATAAATAGTCAGAAACCAGGGCTAAAAAACCGGTTGATATTACCACAAGCCTTTGATTTACAGTAGGTGTTTTGGGTTCTTTTAACTCTAGACTTTCTTTTTTTCTCTTAATGTAACCTTTTTTATTGTGTGTATAATTCACAAGTAATATGTGCATGCTATCTGGGTGTTGGAGGCAAAGGAGATTGCCACTAAAGCTAAGTGAGGCATATGCCTGTATGCATGTATTAAGAAAGCAGATTACCTGATCTGTGTGAAGGAAATACCTGTTTACTTCTTGTGGAGGATTTTATCCATGAAGCATCCTTTCTATACTCAAATCCTCCAGTGTTTGATTTCTTCCAAAATACTTAATTCCAAAGAAAAACAAGAATTCTATAGATCATTGCATTACAATATACACGTATAAAATAGCACCATGTGTTAAAAACTGATGCCTTTCTAAAGTGTAAATGCCCTGAGTTATGTGCCAAGCTGAGCTATGACTTCTTTGCTTTTGGTCTAAAAAATACATTTGTACAACTGAAGAGCTTCATGACTAGTAGGTGAAATATTCAGAGGTCTACCTAAAAATTTATAAGCAGTTTATGATTTAGCAGTTCTGTGTATGGATGTGCCACTCTTCGTGAGTCAGCATCTTGAAAATATACCTGTATCTGCACATATGTAAAATAGGCCATTGTGAACATTGTGGACAATTAGGTGTCTAACGTGTTTCCTTGGCTTGGATTTCAGTTAGTTATGCTGGTGGTTAAAGTGAATAAAAAAGATATTTCTGTTACCATTCCAATTTAAAGCTGCTTTTGTAGGAACAAAGATAAGTAGTAATACATAGTAGAATGAACTGTAGTAGAGAACATACACTGAGACTCAAGAGAAAGAGATTGAAATAATGTTCTGTTTTTAACAACTCGCTTGGGAAAACATTTCTTTTTTCTTTTGAATGTTTTTGTTTTACGAAAGAGTTTGTTGGTGACCCAGCAAGAAATGTAAAAGTTCTTGGAAACCATTTGGTGAAGGCTCAGCAAAAGACTAAACCCAAGTATGCAGCGCGCCACTTGGTTCGTGTCTTGTTCCCCAAGAAAACTTTATTGTGCAGCGTTATGGGAGCGAGCGCACGAGGGCGCAGGACTCTGGATCCAAACAAAATTGCTGCAATAAGAGGTATGTTACCTTTCCAAATGCACAGATTCACTTCTTTCATACTTAATGAAGTTTTGAACTTAAAAGGAGTCTTTTTCTGTATGTTTCTGGCTAATCATTGTCTGGCAACTGGTGAGCAGATAAATGCCATAGTGGATGTGCTCCACTTTACAGTATCTTTTGTTTTTAAAATCCTACTTCGTAATTCTCAATGTTCATTTCTCTTCAATTTCTATAAAACTATTCAGATTTCTTCTAGTTTTATGTACATTATGTTTATCAGGCATGCTTGCTGTCTCTAAATTTTTAATTGCAGTTTATTTTGTGTTTGTGTGTGCAATGGATTTTGTCAGTGGTTTTTTTGTTTGGTTGATTCAGGTTGGCTTGTAGCCGTGGTATACTTGGGACAAGCATTAATTGGTGTTTTTGAAATACTCTTGTGTTCAGTTCTCTTTAGTGAGAAGTGGTGAAGATGGAGGGGCCTTTTTTAATAAATGTCAAGTCGTTTACACAGAAGCCATGGCACGTGTGTGTTTAAAGGGTTAAAATTGAGTGTGAGATTATATAAGCCATGTGAAAGAGTTGCAGCAACAGCATTACCCTGTCTCTGTCCTTTTAGGGGAGGATGATGGTAGTGTTGGTTTCGGGGGTATTTTAAAAATTAGTATGATAAATCACACGTTTCCCCTAACTCTACCAGGAAATGTTTAATATAATAAAAACAGTATTCACAACATCTCAAAAAGTATCACAAAAATTTTTGAATTCATAGTGTAGGTTATTTTCAAAATACAAGTTTACTATCTTTATTTATCGATGGAAATATGAAGCTTGTAAATGGAAAACAATAAACATGAAGCATTAGCTAGCTTTCTCTCTCTAAGTTAGGATAATTCTAAATACTTTGTCATGAAACTTCAAACATTTTCTATATTTTGTATGCAGAGTTTCTTGCAACTAACTTTCCAACCTATGATTTGAGCGAGCATGGAAAAGACTGGAAAACCTGTATCACAAATGTCAATGCCATGATCCGCTGCTTGCGCTCTGAAACCAAAGCAAACCCAGCAAGTTCTAAGGTGATGGTTTATTAAGTTTGCACTTGTTTCTCAGATTAATTATTTGACCTCCTCATGGTACAAGTGCTGTATTGGAAATGCCTGTGGTTGTGTCTCTGTGTTGCTCAGCACAGGCATGCTGACTGCAGCACTGCTTCCATGTGGGGAATACTGGAATATCCTGTTTTCTGCTCTGCCTCTTTCTGCTCCTGTGTCCAGAGTTCAGTTAAGAAGTGTTCAGACATAGGATACTAAAAGAAAAGCACTGCAAATGTTGCCCAGAAGTAGTGTCAAATTTGATTGAGAGTTTAAACAAGTAGCTCTTACACCTGTTTTTGCAGGCTTCTTTTTTTTCAGATCTATTCAGCCATGCATTTCAGTTTTATATTGAGTGAAACATCGCTCCCAAAACACCTCTAACTACATTTGCTTCTAAAATGTTCTCTGCACGTCTTCGAATGATTACTAACTGTTCTACCTGTGGTTTTCATGATAGAAATTCAGGAATAACTATACTGCAAAGATCTAATTTATACTAAATGTGACGTAAACTGGAACACTAATTAGAAAACTGGTAGGCTACTCTCAGTGCGTGTTTAACCTCATTAAATGTTTCAGGAGACAACTGAGGGGAAAGAAGAAGTGTCTGATGCTCCTGATACATCTCATTGTGTAGATTTAAATTATAATGAGGATATTGGAGTCAATTTTCAAAACTCTCAGAAAATGACCAGCTCCACAACTGACACATTGCTGAATTCAGGATTGGATAAGTTTCCAGAAGCTTTCCACACATCTTCACTCAACAAACATTCTTTGGAACCTATGGGTAAATGAAGAGATTTTTATTTTCTGGAATTGCTTATTACATTTTAACATACTCAATGAGAGGCAAAAGATGGTACTGTTGGTATAATTGCATAGTAAAGGGATTCTCTGAACTATGTGAGTCTTCTTTTTCTCTTAAGTCACTTAGTGTAAGTCTTTTTGGGAATGAACAAGAGCATTATATCTGGCTAACAGAATATATGTTTGAATCTACCAGTGTCCCATAATGCATATCTGCTGTGACATTGGGAAGTTCAGCTTCAGTTACTCTGTTCAGTTGCCCTGCCTTTTTACTTTTATATGGTAGATATTCTGACTTCAAAAAGTAAGCTAGCTCAGAATATCTATTGAATGGTACTGCTATTTCAGAAGAAAACGCACATCTTTCTGCAAAACTGGCTCTTTAGGACAACCAAAATCTTAAAACAGTCTTTATATTTTCACTTTTTTTTTTAATGGAAGTGTTCAGTATACAAATGCATTGGGAAAAAAGGTACAGTATGTGATACTAAGAGACCTTCAAGGAAAATGAGCTGAGATTAGTTGCCCTTGAAAGTAATTTATTCAATTAGAATGACTTTGAGGCTGTATCAGATCTGTTCTTGCACGCAAGATTCTTTAGTCAGATCCCACAGACTTATTTATATACTAAAAATTTTGCATTTTTTTCTTATTAATGTTTGCAGTGAAGTCAGGTAGAAGTAGTTAAAAAAATACTCTTTTTCTGTTTCCACTTAGAGAATCTAAGCACCACTGAAATAGCAGAACTTTTATTTACATATGTTCTTGGAAAAGCATCGTCTTTTCACATGAGATGAAACAAGTTAGAAAGCAATAATTAATGCAGCTTGCATTGCTGAAGACATATCAGAAGTACTGTTCATGGTTGTAAACCAAGCAGGGTGTTCTGGCTGCTTGGCCATGTGTCTGCAATATGTTTCATATTAGCAGTAGCTGTAGTGTTGCAGCTTTGCTCTGGTCTTTCCAAGCAAGTAGAGTAGTTTCTGGGTGAACTTTTTGTGTCAGTTTGGATTTAATACAGTCACTTTGAAGCATGGTCAGTGTTGGATGAGTGAAATATCTCTCTTCCCTCCCTGACATCTTCTCCAGAACCTCTTGGGAGCCCATCACACAATGTTCAGTTGCCTTTCTCAGTCATTTACGTCGCTAAGGGGAAGACGCGGCCAGAGTTGTCAGCTCGCTATCTAATCCGTCATATGTTCCCTGAAGATGTGCTGGTGAAAAGCAACGTGTATGGTAGTCTTGATCGTGGCATGAGCCCACTGGATTCCAATAAAATCAATGCACTCAGAGGTAAGTAAGAAAATCTCGGGTAAATCATAATGTGGAGAAACTAATAAGTGTTATTAACTTCGTATCCTATAAACAAAGCATAGAGCTTCAGAAATTAGTCTGTGAAACTATTCTTACAGGCATTTCTGCAAGCAGTGGAACAAATTGAGAGGAAGTAGATAAAGTTATATTTTAGTAGCTCAAGAAATTCTCCAGATCGTGAACCTGGTTTGTATGGGAAAACTCAATTGTCTTGGCATCAGCTTGAAAGGACAATGCAGTGGGAGATGGGAGCAGTCCCTGAGGATTCTGGAGGACATCAGGGATAATTTCTTGATACGGGGGCTCTGTAGATGAAGCAGAAAGCAGAGATGTTATCTACAGCAGGTTATGGCTCCCTTCACAAAAAGGGTTGTTGTGTGATAATTGGTGGTGCTGTTGCTGCAGAGATTTTGAAATCATGGGCCCCAAGGTCCTTAGTAGAGTTAGAAGGGTCTGAGTATAGGCTCTGTAGCTTGGGAGAGCACACTTTGACGTATTTGGGAAAGTCACAGATGGGAGCTTGTGAGAGACAGCTCTGAATAGGAGAGAAGCTCAGGAAAGTTGGCAGATCTGTACGAACAGCCTTCTGCAAGAATATGAGAGTCCATCTTGACACTGAGAGTTATGAGGCGACAGGTTGGGCTAAGCAGAGAATTGGTAACTGAGCCTTGGAGCAAAAAAGCCATATTTAGAGATTGGAAACAAGGAGAGGTTATGAAGTGGAATTTAGCAGCTGTTGTGTTTTAACCCATGAGGTAGCTAAACACCACACAGGTGCTTGCTTGCTTTCTTCCTCCCTGTCCTGCTCCTCTGCCCCACCCACTGGGATGGGGGAGAGAAGTGGGAAAAAGGACTGCCTCTGAGAGAGCAGCATTCATGCTAAATAAAGTGGAGCTGTGACTCACACCCTCTGGGGTGATGTCTGGGCATAGCTTGAGGGATAGAGCATGCCAAAAACCATTTCCAGTATGGCAAGCACTAGCCTGGGAAATATTGACACTTAAACGTCTCCACTTTTATATATATATGTATATAAACATATATGGACATGTAGACATATTTTGTTTCTTGACATTTTGAGCTTAAGAAGCATTCAAAAGATCTAGTAATTGTGTCTTAGGACTGCAAGAACACCATGTAGGCTACAGAGCAGATGAGAGACAAATCCTATGTGTTGTATTTGCAGCCAAACCTTGTCACTTGGCTCTGGAGCCAGAGGACAATCTCTGCCCGTTTCCTTTAACAGAACCTGACTGGATGGCAGCAGCAGTTCCCTGAATGTTACCTTGCAGAGCAGGAAGGGGCCCTGCGCAGCCTGACTATAATCCCCAAAATTGGTCCATTTTGGTGAAAGAAAAGACATAAATTTAAAAGCTGTTTTGTAGATCATGTACAAATGCTCTGTAGACTTTGTACGAATTCGAGTTCTGTGCTGTTCCACTGAGGTCAAGTATTCTTGACTTTACTGCTGGGGATGAAAGTAAAGAGAGCCTGTCCGCTGCTTCAGCCAACAGCTGGTGTATCCTTTTTCAGCATAGTTTATAACAGGAGCATCCTAAGCACACTTACTCTCCCTTTATCTCTCCTCTGGAGTGGAGTGAACTGCAAGAACACAAGTTCTTATCTCAGTTACTTTCTTCCTTCAGACCAAAGTTTTTCTGGCAAATTGGATTTCCAGGTTTGTAACTACAAGTTAAAATATTAACTGTTAACAATGATACTGTATTAGATTTTTACTTGCTGGTGTGTGGAAGAACAAAGCTGACACAATATCTACTAGCTATACCTTTCTTTCTACAAGAAGGTAAATCTAGATGTTAATCAGAGAAGGAGAAGCAACAGTGTCTTGATTTGAAATTACAGATAAGAATTCCTTTTTGGTGTTTATTTAAGTCTTTTACAGGGATGCTTAGAGAAAACGTAATTAGCTCAGCTCAGCAGGGCAATTACTCCTCAATAACTTTAAAAGCCAATTTTAATTTTGGTTTTAAACTACTCATTTTAGTTATGGAAGCGGAGAAAGGGGAGGACTGTGGTACCTTTTTGTGTTATTGCTACCAAACTCAAGTGTTTGTTTACTGATCTTATTTGCAGTATGATAAGGAATGAGCTCTCACAATTTTTCTGTCACTGTTGTTCCTGTACATCTGTGTTGTGCTGAATTGCTGTGATTAATTTTAGTGAATACAGTTGTCAGAGATCCTCTGAAGGAGAGCTTGGTCCTGCCTAATACTGGTCATTCTGAAAGGGAGCCCAAGATTTCTCTTTGCTAGCTGACCACATTAGAAGCTGAAGTTACTCAGCACTTCAAAGGATCAAAACCACACACATGGTCACGTTTACTTTTCATATTTTGTTTGTATGCTTAGACCTTTTTTTACTCATTTTCAAATATAACAGAAAAGGGGAAAGCAGTATCTGCCCTTGCTTTTTGCAGTATCTGCTTTGCTTTTCAAGGCTTGTAATATGCCTAGCTGTCCTGGTTTGGTAGCATGCACTTGTTTTAGCTTAATTACATCTAGAAAGAGTATATAGCTTGCATAAATAATTGATAACTCACTATTACATACTTGTTTATTTTTAGACTTCCTTCAAGACAATTTTCCATCCTTTGATCTCAATGAAAGTGGATTTGATTGGAAGGCATGCGTGGCTGCCATGAACAGCTCAATCCGCAGTCTCAGACATGAGCTTAAAAAGGCGACATCTGGAATCCGCCACGGAGCCCTGGCAGTGCCACCCTCGAGTGCAGAGTCCCCCAGAGGATCCCACTTCCGTAGAACCAATGGAAGACATCTCTCAGATTGAAGCTCTCTAGCATCTGTCTCAAATCTTAATTTAGCAGGTTTTTATTAATTCCATGTAGAAACCTGTAATATTGAGCTGTCCTATTCAACTGACTTGTCAGCAGCACTAAATAGCATCACTTCATGAGACCAAAATTAGCAGAAGGCTTGGGAGTCCTGACTCCTTGCATAGGTAGCGTTTGTGCTCCTCACAAATTATTTTCACTGCTCCCTGTAGCATTTGCAGTGTGCTCTCTCTGAAAAGCATCTTCTTCTCATGATTCATTGAATCTGAAAGATTAATCTGATTAGAAAAGATGCACTGTGCATCAGTACAGCAGAAGCAGATGGAAAAGAGGAGAGGAAAGAGTGGTCCTCCTTAGAGGATGAATCATAGACAGCTAAATTATCTCATTATATGTGAGGAATGAAATTTGCTTTGACAATTGGATATCTTCAGCAAAAATACCAGAAAGGAAAAAATATTTTTAATTGCATTTAGTTAACTTGTATCTGGACTTGATGATCTTCGAGGTCTTTTCCAACCTTAATGATTGTATGATCTCTCACATTTTTGCCGCCTATATCAGTGTTTTTTGTAGGATAAGAGGCAGACAACAATACAAGTACAACTGGTAATGTATGGGGGAATGATGCCTTAAGTTTTAGCTTTCATATTTTCCAGATTCTGTACTGTATTAGTATGTAACTCTGAACTTCATATAAAGTGTTACCAAGTTCTCTTCAGAATTTAGTTAGACAAAACAATCCTTTTCCAGCTCAATAAACAAAGACACCATTGCAGCTTCAGGCCCAGAAAGTGTAAACGACCACAAATTGAGGAGACTTCATAACCTGAAGCTGTAATTAGACAACCCCAATATGCAAATGGAACAAAACTTATAAAAGTGTGAAAATTCGTGACCAGTGGTCCATCTTGGGTGTAGCCACAGCCGGGCTCTTGTACTGGCCAAGGTGTGTCCTTTGAAGGCCTTTTTAATAAATACATATTTTATTCCTTTAGCACTGTCTAGCCTCTATTCTAGGTAGCCTCTCAAGGCATCAGTTACACTGCTCTGCTCTGATTTAGTTCTACAAAAAGGACAAAAAATATCCAAAACAAACAGCCCCATGGTTGGTTCTGTTTTTTCTTAATTAAATTTAAGGAAAATAATTCTTCAGGATCCTGAACTCCACCATATCATCTCATGCAACTAAGGCTTCACATTTTTAGGAAATCACTTGTTGTAGGTGGTATGAGGTGCAGAAAAGCACCTGTCAGTAATAAATGTTCATGCCCTTGCCTTTCTGTCCACGCAAGACAGATTTATTAGTGCACTAAGTTGTATATTTTAAAAAAAAGAACAAATAAACTGATTTTAACAAACTAATTTTAAAAATCACTTGGATGTTGAACATTTAAAATAAATTAAAATTAATTACCATATATAGTCAATTTCACATCTCACTCAGTTTCTCTTGTAAGTTAGAATTCAACAACAGTAACTGTACAGAAGTTAATGTGGTATTTTGCTGGGTAGATTCTTTGTTATTTGGGGTTTTTTTGTTTGCTTTCAGAAAAGGAAGTAATAATAGAATCATAAAATATGCTGAGTTGAAAGGGACATATCAGGATCATCAAGTCCAATTCCTGACAGTGCATAGGATCATCCCCAAAAATGACACCATGTGCCTGAGAGCGTTGTCCAAATGCTTCTTGAACTCTGTCAGGCTTGGAGCTGTGACCACTTCCCTGGAGAGCCTGTTCCAGTGCCCAGCCAGCCTCTGGGTGAAGAATCTTTTCCTAGTATCCAACCTAAACGTCTCCTGACACAGCTTCAGGCCATTCCCTTGGGTCTTGTCACTGGTCAGAGGAGGGAAGAGATCAGTACCTGCCCCTCCTCTTCCCCACATGAGGATGTTGAAGACCACAATGAGGTCTCCCCTCAGTCTCCTCCAGACTGACAAAAACCAAGTGACCTCAGCTACTCTTCATACAGCTTCTCCTCCAGACCCTTCACCATCCTCATGGCCTCCTCTGGACACTCTCTCATAGCTGAATGTCTTTCTTATATTGTAGTGCCTAAAACTGCCCCCAGCACTCGAGGTGAGGCCGCCCCAGTGCAGAGCACAGTGCAGTGGGACAATCCCCTCCCTTGCCAGCTGGCCATGCTGTGCCTGATGTCCCCCAAGACACAGCTGACCCTCCTGGCTGACAGGGCACTTCTGACTGATACCTTGCCATCAACCAGGACCCCGCAGGACCCTCTCCATAGCTGCTCTCCAGCTTCTCGTTCCCTGGTTTATGCATGAAGCCAGGGTTGCCCTGTTGCAGGTGCAGAACAGCACTTGCCCTTGTTGAACTCCGTACACTTGGCATAAGCCTTTGTGTTCCACGTTTTTCAGCATCAGTCACATGGTCCTCCCAGTGTCTGTACTTCATGACTGCTGAGTGAACTTGCCTTGCCACTTGTGTTGGGTCTGAGTGCAGTCTCAGAGATCTAATTTCTTCACAGAAGGAAGCTTCCTGGAAGACTGGCATAGGGAGTGGATTTTACCTCTGAGAGTTGTGGAAACTGTGGCTTCCAAAATAACGCCTGTACATAGCAGAATTAGATTTAACTAAATCTGTCCTCTCCAAGGTAAAGGTTTCATAGTTTATTTGTTAGCAATAGGATAAAACAGTGAATTTGCTCATTCTCACTTCTGTTCAATAAAGAGGTAGTGTTCATTGTACAGAGAATAGGACCAGCTTCTTAATTGCAACTTAGGATACGCAATGGCCTTATCAAATATGAAATCAGATGGTAATTTAAGTTCTTCCTGCTACTTCCTTGCAGACGTCCTCTGTAGGATTCAAGAAACAGACTGAATTTCTGATTTTCTTTTCTTGGTAGAAATGTTGTACTGCAAATTTGATTGTTCTAGTGTACTATTAACTAATTCTTCTGTTGCTTTCTATACAGTCCTTGTTGTAAATGCCAGGAACTTTGTTGTGTATAGATATTATTAGTTCCAAACTTCAGAAAAAGCCAAAAATGCTTCTATTTTTTCAGTAGTTTTATGAATTTTTTTCACTGCCGTTCACAGATTTTAATGGTAGAAGGATATATTTATTGAATGAGATGTTTGTCACTGAACTCTGTTAAATGTGGTGAATACCTATAGCTTCCATCTTGAAAAGAAAATGGAATAATTTAAGTAGAAATAGTTTTCTTGTTTCTGTTTCAAATGTATCAAATTTTGCTAACTTTTATAAAGTACAATTAAAGTATTTTGCTGTTAGGAATAAAGTATTTTACAAATAAAACTAGCATATTGCTCTTTGACTACATATGTGTCTTAAGTATTTCTTGGGTCATGAATCTACAGTTCAAGTACAGTTTCATCTGAAAAGATTCTTCTGATGTCCTTTGAAAAACCAGGGCTTTGAGAGATCTTCTGATTGAAATTTAGACTACTTTAACTGTAAACCAAAGCAGACATTTCTGGGCCTGGCTTGTCAGTTACAGCTGTGCATGAGTTATCCAAAATAGATCTTTCCACAAAAGGATAGGAGTTGAGTAAAATTTTGAAGGAAGTCCTTTAAACTGATTAATTAGTAGATGAGGCCTTGTTCATGCAGTAGAATGAGTTTCTGTGCTAATCCTTATTCAAGGCATAAAGCAGGGCTGCCAGGATGTGACCTAAGGAATGAAGGGTTGTTCGCTGCTCTTCGTGTCAGGGAGCAGCACGAGCACACGGAGCTGGGGCCGGGCACCTGCAGCACAGGCAGCAAGAGCCATGGCAGTGCTGTGCTGTGGCTACTCCCTGCCCAGCAGGGGCCACTGCCAGGGCCACAGGACAGGCCTGGGGAGTCAGGCCCAGAGTCTGGCCAGCAGCACTGCGGGTGTGTGTCACACAGGAGCCAGCGCTGAGCAGGACTGGGGACATGGCTGTGACTGGGACACCCTGCTTGCCCTGCCCAGCCAGGGCTCCAGGGATGGGGCTGGCAGGGGCAGCCTGCAGCACAGCCCTGCAGGGGTGAGTGTTGAACTTTGTAAATCAGAGGCCTCTCTGAATTCCTCAGAGAGAAATCAGAGTGCAGGCATTGAATTAAAACCTTTGGATGGATTGAAGTGTGTAAAGCTACTCACACATAAAGGTGTAAGTTTAAGTCTTAGAATAAGTAAGCAAGTAAGTAAGTTTAAATAAGTAAGAATATGCTTTAAGTGCTTTAAAGAGTGAAGGTCTTAGATACCAGTGTAGAAAAGCAAGTTCTAGTGAAGGTTGAAAAACATAGTCCTAGATACTAGTGCTGAAAACGAGTTTCCGTGTAGGCTCCAGGGACATAGTTTTAGATATGATAAAACTATAGTAAGAATATTGCTTATATTTTTCAGATAGAACAAGATAGACCACATGTATAGTTTATATGTAACCTGGCGTGCTAAGAAACTAGAATTCTAATAGGTTAAAAAGAAATGGTTCGCGTTCGTGTTTTTAGCTTATTGGGTAATGTGTGTATAAGAATCTATGCACTGGGCAGAGACACACTTGCTCTTGCTCTCTTGCTTTTCTCCTCTCTCCTTACTGCCATCATCACCACCTGAAGATGTCAGGAGTTGTGGCAGGGACATCGGCCCTCCCAGGGCCTCGACAGAAACAGCTTCCAGTTCTAATTGGGACTTTACTTCTATTTAGGACTCTATGCCAAAAACTTTTAGCATGGACTTTAACACCCTTTGCCTTTCGAGATTGACGTGCCTTTACAATAAACAACTTTATAGCAACTGAAAGCTTCTCGGCTCTTTTAAAGAAAAGAGCCACAAGCTGACAGGTGAGGGCCTGGGCCCAGGCACAGGGTGGTCAAGAGGGACAGGGCCAGGCTGCCCAGGGCACCTGGGGGTCTTGGGGCACCCTGCAGGCTCTGATCAGAATTTTTGCCTGTTTCAGTGTGGATGTAAACAACCCATCTCACAGCTGTGTTCAGCTTTTATAGCCAGAACTCATTCCTTAGAACAATATCAGTACTTTCTTTTTTCTTCAAGTGTTTATTCAGATAGTCATAGGGTTTTACAATAGGCTGCAGAAAGAGCTAAATATTTGTGCAATTCTTTATCTGTATTTTTGTATAGATATGACAATGTGATAATTTTGTAGGTCTCTTTCATAATTACCATTTTCTTTTGTTCAGTGTATGGTATGATGATGCCTGTGCCTGACGTGAGAACTCTAAATGTCACCTGAACTACAGGCTTATGTAAGCGTTTGAATTACAATTTCCGCATAGTTTTGGTGTTTGGTTTTTTTTAGTATTTTCCCCCAAGTTTTCTACCTCAAGCGGTGAAGTGACACTAGTGTGTCACACTACTGCATGAAATTCATTTCAGCACTGGAAGCAGGACTGAGCCTCTGGTGGATTGAGGTGCTACAGCACCACCTACTGAGACCCAAAAGTTTTTCTGAGAAAATCTCCCTGACTGAAACACTAAATGTTCTGACACAGTGATGCTGCTCTGAGAATTTGATTGGTGCTCTCATTGGAAATTTGAAGTTTCGCTTCTACCTCTGCTTTATCCATTTAAGCTAAATCTTCCTATTTAAAAATGATCTAACTTGAGTTGGGATTGTTTTTTCAGTGAATTTTTTTTTAGTTGCTTTTAACATCATCTGTAAATCTTTAACACATGTGGCAACTGTTCACGTACAGTATTGTATGAGTAATAAAATGT